GAGAGAGAGAGAGAGAGAGAGAGAGAGAGAGAGAGAGAGAGAGAGAGAGAGAGAGAGACGACATGTATTTCAATTCGTGTAAACACGAGTATTCTCTATCGGACTTGCAGGCGCGGCGAATGGGTATCAGTGCTGGATTTAAGTCTCCTTCTGCCCATTTCGCATTCCGATCCATGGTGCTGTTAATTATTTCGTTTCCAGATCGTAGCAGATTTGCATTATTAACGTAATAAAATTCTATGGATTATCGACTACCATTATGAGAAAGGCACAACGGAAAAATGACCGACTGACAGCACTGGCTCACTGCCTTCTTCTCTGATCGTGATCCGGATGGGTGAAGGCCGTTCAAAGTTTTTGTCCCTTACGAAGCACACCCTTGGCTTACGTAGTCCAATTCTAATCATTCCGTCTATGCATGTGTATGTGCATTTATGCGTATCAGTTATATACACTGTGTTCGGATGGAAGAGCGTCTGCTGATTAGTCCTCTGGCGACTGCAATTTCATGTATCTGCGAATCAGAAGAATACGCACACAGGGTGACACCGAAATCCGTAGCATGGACGATGGAAAGAGAGAAAGGGGAATAGAGTTTAGTCTACCTTCTACATTTACGGAATCTGTGTGTGTATGATGGATCACCTCACCCCCACCTTTCCCGATTTCGCGCCCACATTCGCGCCCGCAGTTGCCAAGCGGGCACTCTACTTTGCGAAGCCGTCATTTATCGAATGAATCTGGTCGTGAAGCTGCTCACAAACATCCAGCGAACTGCTCATTTGCAAAACGCAAACGACCGCTTTGACAAAGTAGAGTGCCCGATGAGGCTGCGTGTCCAGCTCATGTGGCGTACTATTCTTTCGCCTTTTACTAAAGAATACCGTGGGCTGATCACACTGAGCAGCATACCACAATTTTTCACGGCCCTTCGCTCCACCGAAGGGCTATTTAAAAAAAAAAAAGAAAAAAAAAGTAGAGTGCCCGCAGTTGCAAAGCGGGCGTTGTACTTTGCAAAGCTGTCGTCATTTCCGCTTCGCAAAGCGACCATGCTACTTCGCCGATTGGTCATTCTAGCATGCCCGAAGTAGAGGACAGTGGTCCTTGCTCCACTCATCTGCATATGCACATAAGACAAAAAAATATGACGGAAAAAAAAAAAAGACAAAAATATGACGGTGTATCTTCCCATGATCAAGCGGAAGATTCATTCTCATTTTGCACGTTTGGTCAGAGTAGTAGAGCGAGGCGCCTTATAGTCGAGCATGTCCGAAGTGGCGGACATTGGGCCTCGCTTCACTGCTCACCAAATTTGCAAAATGAGAATGAATATTCTGCTTGGAACATGGAAAGATACACCGCCACATTTTTTTTTCTTTTTGCATGAATTATTCTGCTTGGAACATTGAAAGATACACCGCCGTATTTTTTTTCTTTTGTGCATGTGGTGAGTAGTGGAGCGAGGCCCATTATATACCTTGCTCACAGTAGCGACCTTGTTCACAGTAGCGGGCAATATATATAGCATGTCTAAAGTATCGGCCATTTTTTCTTTTTTTTTCCTTTTCCTTTTTTCTCCTTTTTTCTTTTTTTCTTTTTTTTTCAAAGGGCAACGGCCGTGATATATCATCTTCAAACTGATCGGCCCCGGGTAAATTCAGAGTGATTTTTACTCATCTGAGTCGATTAGGAATCGAAATGAGGTCTGTGTTTCAACAGATCATGAGTGTACCAACCGAGCTACACCAACGGGTGTAGCGGACGATTTTATCGTGTCGAGTCTTCTTTTTTTTTTTTTTTGTTGACGGACATTTTATTCTGTCCGTCCTAGATTTTCCTCGAAAGTAGCGGACATCGTAGAATGTCCCATCTGATGACCGTCCGTCGTAGAATGTCCCATCTAATGACCGTCCGTCCTCTCTGGTCCGAAATAGCGGACATTATGTAGCATGCCTTCGTTCGTTTTTTTGTTTTTTTTTCGAGGGCGACGGCCTTGAGATATGATCTTCGAAATGAACGGCCCTCTGAAAAAAAGAAAAAGAAGCGAAATTTTTGAGGCCGTCGCCCTCTGAAAAAAAGACAGCCTGAGTCAGATAAGCGAAATTCAGAGTAATTTTCGCTTATCTGAGTTGATTAGGAGTCGAACTGAGGTCTGTGTTTCAACAGATCATGGTGTACTAACCGAACTAACGAACATTTTGTCGTGTCGAGAGTTCTCTCTTTTTTTTCTTTTCTTTTGGGAAAGTCTTTTCTGTCCGACCCTAGGCTACCAGAGTGGCCCGGGACCACTTGCCCGGCCGGGCCGGCCCGATCACCCTATTTCCCCGGACGGCCCGGCCGTGCAAGTACCAGGGAAGGTCCTAGCAAAAACAAAAAGCTGGGAAAAAAAACTGCGTTATGCAGAAAAATAAAATGAACAACTTTTACCTCAGGTCGCATCGAAATTCTTTACCATATTTAAAATAAAAAATACAGTTAAATAATATTATTTTTGGCCCGACCGGGCAAGTGGCCCCGGGCCACTCTGGTAGCCTAGTAAAAAAGTGAAAAAGTGATTTTTAAAATCTAATTTTTATCTAGGAAGTTTTTTATGCCCGGCCCGGCCTGCACATCCGGGCTCATTTCGTTTTTCGAGAGTTGGCTGTCAAGGGGGGGAAAGGGGGGTATAAATTGTTTTTGAAGGGGCTAAAGGGGGGTCCTTTAGTGTGATTTTGTTATTTTCTTTTTTATCTTCGATTTGGTGAGGAATTTTGATGTGACCCTCAGCCAAAAGTTGTTTGTATTGCGATTCTACACAACATTTTTTTTTTTGGAATTTTTGGAATTTCGTTTTTTTTTTTTTTTTTNTTTTTTTTTTTTTTTTTTTTTGCGCTGGGGCTGCCCTGGGTCATGCCCGGCAGGGCACCCGGGCGTGTATCCGGGCACAAGTTGGGTGTCCGGGCGCCCGGAAAAAAAACTAGATTTTTATTTCAAATTTGGTAAAGAAATTTTATTGGACCCTGAGGCAAAAGTTGTCGAGTTTATTTTCTGCATGACATAGGTTGTTTTCGATTTTTTTGGATTTTTTTTTTCTTCTTTTTGCTGGGACCTTTCGTGGTCCTTGCACGGCTGGGCCGCCCGGGAAAACAATGTGATCCGGGCGGCCCGGCTGGTAGCCTAGGTCCGTCCTAGATTGTCCTCCTATGATGTCCGTCTGATGACCGTCCGTCCGCGCTGGTGCAAAGTAGCGGACATTACAAAGCATGGCTTTTTTCCCCCCTTGTTTTAAAGGGCGACGGCCCCCTGTAAATTCAGAGTTATTACTTCTTTGAGTTCTCTAGGACTCGAACTGAGGTCTGTGTTTTTTTTAGCAGATCATGATGTACCAACCGAGCTAGCGGACATTTTATTTCTCGATTTATGCGTGTCATCCTGCGCAGGGGGCATGCTAATCTTCTCTTTATCGTGTCGAGAGTTTTCGGTTTTTTTTTTTTTCCCCGAAAGTTTTTTTCTGTCCGTCCTAGATTGTCGTCCAAAGTAGCGGACATCATGGCCGTCTTGATGACCGTCTGTCCGCTCTGCAAACAGACAAAAGGGGCACGACGGCATAATGAATGATTGCTCCCCCCTCTCGCTTGCTGCACCTGTGAGATGAGCTTGGGCCTCGGCGCACCAACTCGCCTAACTCCAACCCGGCCACTTTCGAGTTCAGATGCGCGTTATGGTGTCGGCATCGGGAATGCCGATGGGCCCCTTGTTGACTGTTGCTTTTTTATTGCGTTTTTTTTTTCCCTTCTCAATGAATGACTTTTGCATTCTTGAGTAAATTCCGCTCAGTCGAGGACTCCGCTCGATGTACGTGAGCGGAATTACAACCAGATTCATTTGATAAAGTTCTCTTGTGGCGGTGCATTCCATGTCATTAACGCTGTCACGTGTCGGCATCGGGAATGCCGATGGCCCTTTGGTGACTGTTGCTTTTTTATCGAGTGTTTTTTTTTTTTTTTCTCTAAATGAATGACTTTTGCACTCTTGAGTAAATTCCGCTCACTCGAGGACCCCGCTGGATGTACATGAGCGGAATTACAACCAGATTCATTCAATAAAGTCCTCTTGTGGCGACTCATTCCATTTCATTATCGCTGTCACGTCTTGGCATCGGGAATGCCGATGGCCCCTTGGTGACGGTTGCTTTTTAATTGAATTTTCTTTTCCTTCTAAATGAATGACCTTTGCACTCTTGAGCTAGGCTACCAGAGTGGCCCGGGACCGCTTGCCCGGCCGGGCCAATATATAACTCCGACGAAACAGTTTGTCACAAGACCCTCGTTTGTTGTCCTCTTCTCCCTCTCTGCCCACGGTTTACCGGGCAGCTCTGTTTGACTATATATATATTATTTTAAATTTGGTAAAGAATTTCGATGTGACCCTGAGGCAAAAGTTGTTCAGTTTATTTTACTGCATAACATAGTTTTTTTTCAGACTTTCGGATTTTTCGTGTTGTTGGAACCTGCGCTGGTCCTTGCACGGGCGTGCCGCCCGGGAAAACAAGGTGACCCGGGCGGCCCGGCCGGTATCCTAGCTCCGGGAGTTCGC